CATCTCCTAGCAGCAGTGGCCTGGATGACCTGGACCTCCTGGGCAAGACGCTGCTGCAGCAGTCTTTGCCTCCAGAATCTCAACAAGTTCGATGGTAAGCACTTAGTAGTATAGTCTCGCATCTCTCCCCATTGTGTCCGTTTCTGGGGTGCTGCACAGCATTTCAGAGCCCTGTTCCACTCCTTGCTCTCTCTCCTCCCTGGCAGGGAGAAGCAGCAACCACCCCCTCGGCTCACCCTGAGGGATCTGCAGAACAGGAGCAGCTCTGGCACCACAGCCCACAATCCCAGTGCTCCGCCTGTGCTCCAGAGTATTTCCCCTAACCCCACGCTGCCTCTGACCTCAGAGCTGCCTGCCCCTGCTACACTTCTAAAGGCTGCCACCACACCAGCAGGAAGTACTGCAGTCCCACCACGGCCTCCTGCCACTGTGCTGCCCCAGGAGATCTCGCTGGCCAACATCACTGTGCCTCTGGAGTCAATCAAACCCAGTGAGCTGGGGAAAAACAGGGGGGCAGGCATGGGGGGATTAAACCCTGCACACATGGAAGGGAAGAATGTGAAGAAACTTCTTGCTTGTTGGATTTTGTGAAGGCTGAAGAGGAATGGTGCCTCTGTCACTTCTGTGGAATTAGGGTGATGGGGAAAGGTGCTGTCAGGCCAGTTCCCACCTGGCTGACTGCTGCCTGTCCCTGCCTTTCCTACAGGCAGCATCCTCCCTGTGACAGTGTATGATCAGCATGGCTTCCGTGTCCTCTTCCACTTTGCTAAGGATGCCCTGCCTGAGAGGCCTGATGTGCTTGTGGTGGTGATTTCTATGCTTAGCACGGCCCCGCAGCCCATCCGCAATATTGTCTTTCAGTCTGCCGTCCCCAAGGTAAGACAGCTTCTGGGGTTGAGGTCCCCAGACTGGGCCAAAGCATGATTCTACTTCCGCAGGAAAAATTGAGTGGGTGGAGAGAGCTCTGTTAGCATGGGAGCAAATTCTGTTACCTTCAGATTAGCACAATGTTTTTCTCTGACTAGACAGCAGAAGCTTCCCGAGTACAGGAGCAGGGCTTCTAGCTGCCGAGTCACTCTCAGGAATGTGGTCACTCTCTTCTCTCACTCACTCCCTAGATAATGAAGGTGAAGCTACAGCCTCCCTCAGGCACGGAGCTGCCAGCATTCAATCCCATTGTCCACCCCAGTGCCATCACCCAAGTCTTGCTGCTTGCTAACCCACAGAAGGTAACAGCGTTGTCCCTGGGGCACGAACAGAGGCTGGTCCTGGTGCTTAGGCAAAGCCTCATTACCCTGTTCCCTCTACTCTGCAACATCTGAGATATGAATGGTTTGTGCCTCATGCCTTTCTTCCTCTTGTTCTGACTGCTCATCCTTTTTCTCCCGTCTCCAGGAGAAAGTGAGGCTACGGTACAAACTGACCTTCACCATGGGAGAGCAAACCTACAATGAAATTGGGGACGTGGACCAGTTTCCCCCACCAGAATCCTGGGGAAACCTCTAGGGCCACATGTTACAGGCACTACACTTCAGATTCCTTAGGAAGCCAACCCTGTGGGGCTGGAGCAGACAGAGGAAATGGGAGGGTGGGTGGGGGCTGGTGCTCACGCTCTATTCTCCAGATGGCCGGGCAAGGGCCAGAGGGAGCGTGCCTCAAGGAGGAGAGCAGAGATGCCAGGAGATGTTCATCTCACAAGACTAGAAGCGGAATGGAAAGCTTCATGTGTGTGAACAGTTGCCTTCCCTGCTCTTCTGAAGATGACACTCCCTCCCCAGTCTGTCCAGCTTCTCTTCTAACCCTGCTTTCCTGCTTTAGGTGCATAGGGGAACAAGGACAGGGAGCCTTTAACAACCTCAGCCCAGGGCAAGGCCTAGCAAAGGAAGATCTTTTTCCTTGTCTGCCCCCTTTGCACTTCTCAGCCCTTCAGCTATTTCGTGCTCTATGGTGCTCTCTCTTGTCCCCCTTGCCTCCTCCTTGGAGCTGGGCCCCAGTGATTCCATCTGGTGGGATCACTGGAGCTGATGAGGAACAAGGCTGGGCAGAGCCTAGAAATCTCTCCAACACCAGACAGAAAGCAGACAGCTGTCCTTGCTTTTGGGGGGGTCAGGGGGAGTGATCATCACATATCTCTGTTCTAGCTGCTTACAGAGCTGTTGGTGAGGGGTGGGGCCTCAGGGGCTGGGAAGGGCTTGCTCTGTGCCTTCCCAACCCCTTCAGCTGGTGGTCTGAACCCCTACAGCAGGGAGCCCTACACCACTCCCACAGGCTTTTTCTATCATAGCAAGCTTTGGGAACGGTGGTCAGAGAGGGGTGTGCTGTAGGGGTTGAGTCTCCCTGCAGCCTTCTGGCAGATGGGAAGAGGAAGCAGCAGTTAGACTTCCTTTCTACAGCTGGGCTGGAGAGCTTGGTGGGGTGGGGGGGTTTCTCAGCTCTTCAGTGTCCTCTGGCAGAGGGGTGAGTGATGGGCTGGGAGTCGGGGAGATGGGAGCCCAGCTCATCACCACAAAGCTCTGCACTGGGGCTTGGGGGGGTTCAGCTGTGCCTTGTGCACCTTTGCTGCAGCTGAGGGCAGGCCTGGCTCCCTGTGGCAGGGAGGGGGCTCACCCCAGCCGCCTGATCACTGTGACACAAGAGCTGGGATCTGCAGGCACAGAGGAGACTGAGGGTAGCACATCCCAAGCAATCCCCACTCCCATGGGACTTAGGACCGTGGGAGCTGCTTCCCATCCCTAAGCTGGTTTGGAGAGGGCCTGATCATAAAAAGCAGAGGCAAGCTGTATTCTGCATTGGCTTGCCAGAGGCAGAAGGAAGCATGTGTGAGCTGGAGACGAGCAGGGTGCCTTGCACTCCTGGCTTGGGGCAGTGAAGGTGACGTGTCTCAGAGCTGGGCACAGCAGGCAGAGTAAAGGTGAGGGGGAAGCAAGGTTTTTATGCTGGGATTCTGCTGTGTCTTACTTCCCTTTCCCATCTCTTCAGGGTTTTGTATGGGTTTTTTCTTTGCAGATCTTGTTTGGTTCTTGAATAGACTTGTATATATTTTCAGTGCAAAATTCTGTAAATGGAAGAAAACAAACATTTAAAATGAGACGCCCGGCGCGAAGAATCTGCTGTATTTATGGGAAATAAAAGTTCTTTCCTGATCCTGCTCCTCTGTCTTTTGACCTAAGGAATGCATTTTTCCCCTTGGACTTTCCTGGACCTCGAGGAGCTTCTCTGCACCCTGCCCAGCTTAAATCCTGCCCCTTCAGTCCTGTAGTTCATCCCTCCCTCAGGCCCTTGCCACAATGATTTCTCCCACATACAGGGAGCAGAGATGGTGGAATTCCCCTGGCAGTTCTCAATTCCTTTTTTGAGAGCAGTCACTTCCAGCTGTGAACATGGTGCTACCCACTTCCCTTGTGCCCCATGGAGAGGCAGTGGGCAGGAATCTGTACCTGACAGCCCAGTGGAAGCAGGGCTTGAGCTCGCCATGCCCCACATGACTGCAGCGTCACCACTGCTGGTAGCAGTGCTTGGAAGCAGCTCTATGAGGCAGTTTTATTTCAGGGGTACAAAGGGGGATCTCCTCTGGCAAGCAGCAGCCCAGGGCTGGGAGCAGCTCTGATACTGCATATAAGGAATGGCCTAGCCAGTACTTGATGCAGCCAGTGAGGATCTGGGGGGACTTTGCTGCATCTTTGCAACAGTGCTTGAAGAAACTGCCTGTTAGGAGCACCCTCAGGGCTCTGTGGTAAGGGATCAGATGTGCTCTGCCACAGGTTTAGAACAGCCTGGTGTTTTGGGCAGAGAGAGAGTGGTGCTCTGTCACCCCATAACCACTTAACTGCAAGCACCACTTAGAGTAACTGGAGACTTGACCCTTGCCAAGAAGCACAGCCTAGCAGCCCCCAAATTTTTGCTCCTCTGTCTTCAGGGCACAGATGGAGTGGCCCTTTGGCCTCCTTTTCCTTTGCTGCTTGTCTCTTCTGCCCATGAGCTGACCGGTTCTCATTTTGGCTTGGTTTTCTGCTTCCTTTGCCAGCCATGTAACTCAGCCAACGGCAACCTCTGCTCTCTCTGAGTGCAGGTAGAAAGTCCTATCTGCAGGTAGCCAGAAATTAGGTGAGATTTGCATCTCATAGAGTCAGGACCAAAAGTCGTGGTGGTGTGAAGGGAGATGCAGCTCTGCAGAGAGCAGGCAACAGCCGAGCCTGAGAACCGGGAGTTTGCGGTCCCGGTGCAACTGCGGGTGCTGCTGCCTCTGCTCGGAGGAACTCTGCTAGCGGGGGGAGGGACCTCCCCAATGCACAAGGCAACAGGCGCTGGCCGCAGCTTTGTGGTGGTTCCGGAGAGTCTCAGCCACGGCAAGGAGGGAAAGCAGGGTGAGAAGTGCAGGGGGAGGCGAGGGTGCAAAGGTGGCTTTGCTGCTTGTGCTTTGCTGCTTTTGTCACAACAAGGGGGAAGAGGGTGGAGCTGCACCCGTGAGCATGGAGAGGTGCTTGAGGAGTGTTGGCAGAGGTGGGTGACCAGGTAGGGCAGGGTGTACATCAGGCGCCCTGTATCAACTGCAGAGCCAGCTGGCACCGTCGCGGGCTGTCCCGTGGCACAGCTGGTGGTGGGCACGGGGAGGAAGGGGAACCACCCCAGCTGAGACAGAGCAAGAAAGCGTGGGCCCTTCACTCGGGCTCGGCAGCGGCGTGTGCTTGTCCTGCCTTGTTATGTGTATGCTGTAATAAAATTTCCCCTTTAAGGCTGGGCTGAAGTTATTTTTACTTGTGGGGTGGTGACAGGAACATAGAACGGAGCTGGAGCTCTGAACTGTTCTTACCTGATCTGCGGTGGAGGGGCAGACAGAGGAGGAAGGAAGCTCAGAAAAGGAGAGCGAGAGAGAGAAGGGAGCTCAAGGGAGGGGAAAAGAAAGCAGGCAGGGCATCCCCAGGGAGGGACTAGGGAGGGGACCAGCTGGGGAAACTGAAAAAGAGGGAACGAGGGAAGGAGGAAGAGGAGTAAGGAAGGAGAGGTCCTCCGGGAAAAGCAAAGTGGCTCCAGGGAGGAGAGGGGCTGCAGGCATCCAATGCCAAGAACTACCGAGGGGAGCTGAGCGTGTACAGCCGAGCAGAGCAGCTTTTTTGGTCTCTTCCTGCCTCTCAAGATGATGAAAAGACAGTTTAATCGGATGCGCCAGCAGCTGTCCCATCCCAACACCACCATTAGGTAAGTACTTCTCCACTACCAGTACTGGAGGGAGTGGGATGTGGGTCCTGGAGGGCTTGCACTGGGGCTGGACTGACCTCCCAGTGCTGGCGGCCTGAGAAAAGGGGAAAGGGGGGAAAAACTTTAGGCTTTAGAACATCTTCAGCATAAGCTGAGGGGCTTTGGGAAGGCTGCATTGGTGCTGCTCAGCAGTAAATTATTCTCAAGCTCAGCTACCTCTGCCAGGGCCCATAGGTACTGCATTCACCAGGAAACAGGGCTTTCTCAAGCTTAGCTTCAACAGGATGTGGGGCAGTGGGGCAATGGGAAGGGACCTTCCAGCCACATGCCCCTGGCTGTGCAATGACCAGGAGGGTGATCAGGCTGGGACCTCCCTCCCTGCTGAGTCTGAGGTGCACCGCAGGAACCAAATGCCCTGCAAAGCTCTAGCCAGCCCAGCAGCATGAGCAGCCCAGAATGCCCCTTAAGGAGAGGACCTTGGTTGGACTCATGGAGGACTTACAGCTTCACACAAAAACCTCTGTCCCTGTCCTACCTCTGCCATTTCCTTCTTTTTCTCTTTGGCTTTCCAAAGCTCTCCCCTTGCAAAACCCAGAACTGAAATTACAGGGCTGGGCCCTCCCTGCCCAGCCCCCTCATTCCCTTTCCTACTGCCACCTCTGCAGGTTCCCAGCACTGGGTGGCTAAGTGGGACCGAGTGTGTCCCCTGAACCACTGAGGTCCTTCAGCCAGCCCAGCAAATCAACCACTGGGAAGCAATTCCTATATGCTGGTGGCCTCTTGCTCTCCTTGCTTTCTCTGAAAGGGAGCACGATGCCCCTTCGCATCCCTCTTCCCTCAAGACTTCTCATCTCCATGGCAGATGCACCTCCCTTTTGCTTAATGCCAGTCAGGCAAGTCTCAAGCAGCTTGTGAAGTCCAAGAGCAAGTTCTTCACCTGCTGCAGAGCCTCTCCTCTGTGGACCATGACCTCACAGGATTTTGGTTGCCTTCAAACACACCACCCACGTTTCCTGCAGTTCCACATCCTTGTCCCACATTGGCTTTGGCAGGCAGTGAAAATAGAGAAACATAAACTGGGGAAAAGCAGCAGCAGATGGAAATCAAACAGGGTTCCTGGGACATAGCAATGATAGCAGGCTGTGAAGCAAGGCTTCCTCTATGGGAGGCATCAGGGAGGTTTTAGGGTCATGGTGGCTGGTGGGTTTTGAATTTGGTTTTGAGCAGAACCACAGCAATCTGGGTTTGTGTAGGCATTTCTAGGAGGCCTGGTGTTGGTCTTGGACCCCAGTTTGACTACAAGGGTACCCTTGCTCTTGCACCAGTGGCCCCACAGCTACTGACTACCCTGGCCTGCAAAGATGTGTGCCAGACTGCAATATCACTGCCCTGGATTCACCTTCAGGGGAGAGATGGGCAGTCAGGGGCAGTAAACATCCCATCCCTCTTGTGGCCCTGCTAAACACTCTGACTCCAAAAACACAGGTCACGTCTGAACTTTTTGACTGAGGCGCACTGAGCTGGAAACCCTGTCTGATGGAGTATTCACCAGCCAGCAAATTTGGCTCCCTTGTTCTGCTCCTGCTGTTCTTGTTTTCCCAGGCTCATTCTACCCATAGCCTTGTGTCTGATAGTCCAGGCTATAGCCTGTGTCTCCTGCTCCCAGAAGCCCAAAGAGAGGCGGGTAGTATGCATAAGGACCTGCCTTTCCAAGGAAGCCAGGTGGAGGTCATCCCCATTTGCTGATGGTTCCTTCTCCTTCCTCTGCAGAGCCCAAGAAGCAACTGAGCTCCTGTCAGAAGATTTGCTGCAGGTGAGGCATGGGCTGGGCTGGCAGGCGTGTGTCTGCTTGTGCCTGGGTGTGGGAACCTGCCCCGCTCCTGCTTGCCATTCACCCTGCCAGCATGTCCAAGTCATGGGGCTGGGATCTGCCTGCATGCCGGAGGGTGATTTCAGGACCATGGTGTTAAGGGATTGGCAGGGTCTGGCTACCAGGAAGGGCTTTCCCAGCTGCTTACAGAGCTCAGGATGAATCCTGAGCAGGAGTTGTGCTCCCTTTTCACTGGACCAGATGCTCCAGACTGTGGCACAATGCTGGGCAGGTGTCGTGGTTTGACACTGGCTAAACACCGTGCACCCATAAAAGTTGCTCACTCACCCTGCCCTGCCACAGCTGGGCAGAGGAGAGAAAAAATTAATGAAGGCTTCATGAGTTAAAGACCAGGAGAAAACACTCCAAAAGCAAAACAGGCTAGACTTAGAGGTACAAAGTGAATTTATTACTAACAAAATCAGAAGAGGATAATTAGAAGTAAAATAAGCCCTTAAAAACACCTTTGACAGCACAGGGGACAGGGCGTGGGGGTTTTGGTCAGTTCATCACCCGAGATCTGCTGCTGCTCAGGGAAAGGAGTCCTTCCCCTGCTGCACCATGGGGTCCCTCCCACGGGAGACATTCTCTGTGAAGTTTGTGCGGCTCCAAATCTCATGAGTAGTAGTCCTCCCAAAACTTCGGCAGCGTGGGTCACTCTTCCTCGGGGTGCAGTCCTCTGAGGACAGGCTGCTCCAGCCTGGAAGCAGGGCCCCCTCTCTCCACTGGGTCTCCCACTGGATCACAGCCTCCTCCAGGCATCCACGGGCACCTTCCCCACGGGCTCAGGTGTCCCCATGTGGATCTCTGTACCCATGTGGATCCCATGGGCTGCAGGGGCACAGCTGCTTCACCATGGTCATCACCATGGCCTGCAGAGGAATGTCAGCTCCAGCACCTGGAGCAGCTCCTCCTTTTTCACTGACCTTGGTGTCTCCATGTTGTTTCCCTCACATGTTCTCACCTCCTCCTCTTCTCTGGCTAGAAAAAAACTGTGTTCCTGCTTTATTTTGATTTTCTTCTTAAATATGTTTTCACAGAGGCACTACCACTATCTCTAATTTGCCCAGCCTTGGCCATCAGCACGTCCATCTTCAGAGCCATCAGGGATTGGCTCTGCAGGACATGGTGGAAGCTTCTGGCAGCTTCTCACAGAAACCACCTATGTGGCCTCCTGCTACCAAAAACTAGCCTGCACAGCAGGCCATCACCCAGGGCTGGGTAGTGGGGAAATGGCCTCAAGGTGCCCATGGTTGACAAAATGGCTTCCCCAGTCCCAATTTTCTGCCCCCAGATTGAACAGAGGATTGAGCCAGCCAAGAGAGCAGCTCACAGTGTGTCCAAGAGGCTCCAAGCCTGCCTGCAGGGACAATGTGGCTCCGAGATGGACAAGCGAGTGGTGAGAAAAATCTTCCCAGCACAGTCCACCCCAGCTCTGTCCCTTGCCAGCAATGGGGATGCCAGACCCCTGCTTTGCCAGTTTTGCTGAAGAGTGGCCCAAAGCTATGCCAAGCCCAGGTCCCATTGTCAGCAGTGGTCTCCAGCACATGCCTGGGATGAGCAGAGCAGGGCAAGGCTCTCAATCATCACTAATTTGGGACACTGCTGAAAAGAGAGACAGTATATTTGCATTGAATACCCCTCCAAAGCCCTTGTTGTCTATGTTTCTTCCCAAACCCCTGTGAACTCTGGCACTCATGGTGCCCTGCGGTAAGGAGCACCATAGTGTGGCCAGGCTCAGTGGTGTCACCACTTCTCTCCCAAATCCTTCTCTCTGTGCAGAAGAAGCTGCCCTTGATGGCTCTGTCCATGGCGATGGCTGAGAGCTTCAAGGAACTGGACATAGAGTCCAGCCTTGGGTAAGTACTGGCAGGAGAAAGTGCCAGGGTGACCCCAAAAGATGCCAGATCCTGGTAGTGACACTGTCTTGGCTCAGGGGCTGCCATGGCTCAAACCATGTCTCCAGAGCAAACACTGGTGTTGCACTGGGAGAAGGGACAGCCAGCACCTTCAGCCTCCCATTGCAGCGTAGGGTAAGGGGCTGGCTCAGGGTCCCACATGGGTACAGGTCCAGTGGGGATGTTGGGTCAGAGAGGGGCATGGCTCCAGCCTGCAGTCATTTCATCTCTATCCCACACAGGAGAGCCCTGGAGATGGGTTGCTGCATACAGAGTTCACTGGCCAAAATCGTGGCCGAGTTTGAGATTGCCCTGGAGCACTATGTCCTGCAGCCACTCAACAAGCTCAGTGAGGTAGTCCCAGCTGCCCTACTGGCTCCACTCTCCAATCTCACCACTCCTTCCTGTGTTCCCAGGCCTCCCCCACTCATTCTGGCCCTCTCTCCCCCAGGAGGAGCTTCCCACCATCCTGAAGCGGAAGAAGACCCTCCAGAAGTTGATTTCTGACTGGAACACAATCAAGAGCCGGTATGGGGCACCCTGCAGTCCTGGGGGGCCAGGACATACAGAGCACAGCCCCCAGACCCAGGTTGGGGGAGACAGGAGGATAATTGCCCTGGGGAGTCAATTTCCAATAGGTCTTCAGGAGCACCCAGCTAGCTCCTCTCTGTACGTGCATCTTGCTCTGGGCTCAGATGTTGATTCCATAGCACCAGAGAGAAGGGCAGCTCTGCTGCTAAAGGTAACAAAGCGCCCCTGTGCTGCTTGACACACTAAGATCACCTTGTACCAACTCTTGCCAGTGGTAGCCCTCGCCATATTTCTCTGGAAGTTTGCATACCTGTTCTACCCAGCATTCCTGGCACTGAGACCATAAATGTGCCTCTTCTTTCCCACCCCAAAGGCTGAACCAAGCTGCCAAGAGTTCTAGTAACAGCACTGGAGCTGGTGTTGGCCCAGGGGCATCTTCTGCTGCCAACAAACTGGAGATCTTGAAGGAAGAAGAGGAGGAGGTGAAGAGGAAGGTGGAGCAGTGCAAGGTGAGATGGTCACTTGCTCTCCCCTATGGATCAGCTCCAGGGCTGCCTGCAGACCTGCTCCCCTCCACCAGTCTTGTCCAAGGTGACCCCACACTGAGATGGATTGCAGCCAGCCGGCATGTCCTGCCCTCTGAAAGCAAATGGGCCCCTCAAGTAGAAATAGAGAGATGGTCCAAGCCCAGGGAAGAAAAAGAGTAAAGGAATTCAAAGTGCAAGCTGCTGCAGAGAGGAGGCTTCAGGGGCTAAATCAGGGATCATATGGGGTCCCCTTAGGCTGGGAACCAGCTGAGATAGGATCTGCCGTGGGTGGCAGGGAAGTTTCACATCAACTTTCTCCACTTCTGTCCTGTTTCTCTGAAAAGCCCAGCACCTCGTCTTGCAGAGCTTGTGAGGTCACTGGAGCTGAAGGTGCAGAGATCACTTGTTCCTGAGCCACTTGTGCCAGGACCTTGATCACGGGGCAGGTTGCTGCCACTACTCAAACACAACTAATGGAAGCAAGGAGAAAGCCCCACTGCACCCAGAGACCCTGTCTAGACCACTCACAGACCAGATGAAAAGGCTTCGTGAAGGTGTCTCCTCTTCCTCGGGTGCCAGGGAGGGGATGGAAGATTGCTCTTCTTTGTGTCTCCCTTCCCAGGATGAGTACATGGCTGACCTCTACCACTTCTCCACCAAAGAGGACATTTATGCCAGCTACATCATCAAAGTAAGTCCTCTGTCTCACTTCTCCCCACTGTGTGAACATCAACTGCAACATGTCTGAGCCCAGCTTTCGCCCATCCACACCAAGTGCCCCTGAGCAGGGCAGGGGACAGATCCAGGAATCAGCAGATGCCTATAGTTGGCCTTGCTCCAGGCACTGCAGGTTAATGCCACCACTAGCACCTAGTGCAAACAAGCAGCTTGTCCTGATGATACCCCTCTCCAGTTTGCCCTCTACCCCTTACTACAGACACAGTCCCATGGGCTCCCCTTGCAGGTCCCTCTTTGTTTTGTCTTCATGTGGGTGCAATGTCCTGGGAATGGGCACCTCTCCAAGAGGAGCTGGTGCCAGCTGAATGCTGTTTGCCTGTCCCCTGTCTGGCAGCTATTGGAAATCCAAGCCCAGTACCACCGGCAGTCACTGGACTCTCTGGACTCAGCTCTAGCAGAGCTGAGGGAAAGCCACAGACAGACAGGTACCCTCTGGCTCTCCATGCAGCCTGGCAAGGGCTGCAGCTGAGCCTGGGGAATACAAGTGTGGCCAGCAAAGCTGGAAAAGGCTCATTTTCCCTCCCTACACCTGCTGCTGCCTACCATGTTGGGCTGGTAGGCTGGGGACTCCAGCTTGACATGGGCTGGGGATGCTGCCTGTCCTGCCTCTGCCTGTAGCCAGCCAAGTTCGGATGGAGGTGGATGTTGCCATGGCCAAATGCTAGATGGTCCCAGTGTCCACCATCCTCCTTGACATTTTCCTTCCTCTTCCAGAGCCTTCCTTCATGACAGACACTCCAGTGGCAGGGTACTATGGTGTGCCCCTAGAGACACACCTCAAGAGCTTGGGCCGGGAGATTGCACTTCCCATTGAAGCCTGTGTCATGATGCTGTTGGCTTCCGGCATGAAGGAGGAGGTACAGAGTGCTCCAGACCCCCTCATCACCTTTCTCCCTGCCCAAATGCACTCCTCCTAAACTCAGAATGAATCCCTTCCCTCTTCATCCCATCCCCAGGGACTCTTCCGGCTGGCAGCAGGCGCCTCAGTGCTGAAGAAGCTGAAGAGCAGCTTGGCCAGCGGCTCCAATGCCCTGGAGGAGTTTTACTCAGACCCCCACGCTGTGGCTGGTGAGTGCCAGCAACGCAGGGTGGGGGGACATGACTGGGCAGTCCCGGCCATCTCTCAGCTACCATCAGCTCCACTGCTCCCTCTCTCCTTCCAGGTGCACTGAAATCTTACCTGCGGGAGCTGCCCCAGCCTTTGATGACCTTTGAACTCTATGATGAATGGGTCAAAGTGGCCAGGTGGGTCGAGGCACTGGGGTGGAAATCCCTGGCAGGTCTCAAAAAGCCCCCAGTCAAGTCCCTCCATCCTTCCCAGCACTTGGAGCAGGGGTGCTCTGTCTCATTTGGGGAGATACAAACACAGTGGATGTGGATGCCTGCTTTCACTGCCCAGTAAAGCAGGACATCTCCATCCCCAGGGCGATGGCCTTGCACAAGGCAGCCAACACTGGCCTTCCTCCTTGTCTGTCCTCCCTCTCTGCCACAGGGAACAGGCCGAGCTCTCTGCTCCTCCTTCTCTCTTACAGCTTGAAGGACATTGATAGCCGTGTACAGAGCCTGCGAGACACCTGCAGCCGCCTGCCCCAGGACAGCTACAACAATCTGAGGTGTTTTGTCGGAACAGGGCTTCTTCAGCCCCAAGCAATCACTAGGGTTAGCCATTCCCTCCTCAAATCCCTACCTACTAAACCCTTGCTCTCCTTTCCCCCCACAGGTATCTGATCAAGTTTTTAGCCAAGCTGGCTGAACACCAGGAGGTGAATAAAATGACCCCCAGCAATATTGCCATTGTGCTGGGCCCAAACCTGCTGTGGTCACAGCAGAGCACAGGGTAAGTTCTGGTTTGAAGGGGTGGGAGGCAGCTCCCTTGCCCCAGCTAGGGTGCCCTGAAGGCAAATGTCATAGCAAAAGCTGATCCAGCAGCCTTCAGGCTGGCCTGCAGCACTTACACCTCTTCCATCCACAAGTCCCACGCTCCCCAGGTTGCATGTCCCCTCACCAAGCACATGTCCTCTTAGCCACTCTGCAAAGTAGTAGAGGAGCGGGCTGAGACCCAAAGCACTTGTCACATGGGTGGCTTTCAATACCACTGGCCTCCAGCACCAAACCAGGGTCCCCAAGACAGGGAAAAAGGCCCATCACCCACATTGCCATGGCCTTTGTCTAGGCTGCCTTCAGACCCTGACCCCTGTGGAATGAACATGTAAACTCATTTGGGGTTAATGCCCCCAAACCCTTTCTCTGATGCCTCTCCCACCCCTCTCTCTCAGAGACCCCATGCAATTGGACTTGGCCTCAGTCTCCTCCATCCAGGCTGTGGTGGAAGCCCTCATCCAGAACGTGGACACTCTCTTCCCTGGAGGTAGGGCCAGGGCATCTCTTGGTGGGTCACAGCAGAGAGTGACAGGGAGAGGAAGGGAATGGAACATTTTTCCATCTCCAGGAGGAGAGAAGCAGGATGCTGCTCTGGGTCCCTGCTGTGGGGTCACTGCTCTGGGTGGCAAGTGCTTCCTCACAGAATCTCCTCCTTTCTCTTCACCCAGAGGTAGATTTCAATGTCTCAGGCATGTTCATGCCGCCCACAAACACCGGACTTTGCAAGGCTGCATCAGTGGAAGAGCCAACTCCTGTGATCCCTCCAGCCAGCACTCCCACCCTTTTGGATGGAGAGGCGTAAGTCTGATGGGAGCTAGAGGCTCTGGTTGTCCCAGCTCTCCTCATGTCCTCCCTCCCTCCCACCCCTCATAAGGGCTGTACCCTCACAGGTGGCTGCAAGGTACCTTGCAGCCAGGACCACCATGCCCAAGCAAAGCCTGACTTTCCCCATTCTCTGTGCAGCACCTCCAGGGACCCTGAGGCCAGGTCCCAGCCAGCATCCCCAGCACAGCCCAGGCCATCTCCTGAAGCTGCAGGGCCACCAGCTCCGACAATGACTGACAACACCACCCGCAAAGGTTAGGGTGCTCCAGATGCTTGGGAAATTACACCTCCCAATGCCACCTCCTGTGGTTTAGTCATCATCCTGCTGTTCCCCACACAAGTAGGCACTGGGGATGTCCTCATCACCAAATGAGGGGAAAGGCCTCTGGCCAGGGCAGCATGGCCAGGATCCAGCCAAGATGGGACCATGGCATGGAGGCAGTATGTCCTCCAATGTTGGGTTGAACACCTCCAGTAAAGAGGTGAAGGGAAGAGAAAAAAGCCTCCAGAAAAGCTGTTGTGCTCTTGTGTCTTCAGGACAGGAGCTGGGCAAGGGGAAATTTGGCTGCACCTGTCTGCAGCCCCCCTGCCTGACCCGTGGCTAGCACTGCAGCCCCCTCTGCCCTTTGGAGAGACCCCAGTGGAGAGGACCTCAGCCCACCTCAGCTTTCTTTCCAGGCAAACGCCCAGCTCCAGCCCGACCCACAATGCCACCACCGCCTGTGACACAGCCCCGGAGCACAGCTCCAGCCCAGGCAGCCAGCCCCAAAGCCCTGCCACGACGGATGATGCTCAGCCGAGCCCCCTCCGTCCCGCCGCCGCTCCCTCCGCAGCCAGCACCCCGCCACAGCCGAGATGCCCTACCATCCCCCAAGCCTTGCACTGGTGAGGCTGACACAGCAGCTGCCATGAACTGTGTGCCGGGAGCCACAGAGGAGGGGCAGCCACTGCCTGCAGGAGGAAGCCCCCTAGCCACATCAGCCCCAGAAGGACAGCCCACAGAGAACTGAACAGGGTGAGGAACGTGAAGGAATCACAGGTCAGAGAGATGGGACCTCTCTGAGATCCAGCAGGTGCTGTGAAAATGCCAGAGTGGCCTGAGGGAGTGAATCTCTTGGTCCTCCACCTTGCTTCCTTGGCTCACACCACCTGGCATGCTTTGCCTGCCTTCTCTCGCTCTCCAGTCTCGGTCTCCACCTCCCCATAGCACCATGTCCCAGCTGGAGCCCAGCCACCAGTGAGGGCCTCGATCCCTGCCCAGATTCCCCACTGCAGGCCCAGACACTTGGGCCAGCATGGGCATTTGAGGATGCTCAGCCATGATCCCCGCCCCGTCTTGCCTTAAAATGCATTGCCCCAGGAGCACATAGATGGATGTATATAAATACAGATATATAGATAGATAGATTTGGAATGCATGTTCTATTAGGACTGGCTGAGAGAGCTAGGGTTGTTTGGCCTGTAGAAGCAGGGGCTCAGAGGTGACCTGATCACTCTCTACAACTCCTTGAAAGGAGGCTGTAGCCAGATGGAGATTGACCTCTGCCAAGCAACAAGAGGATATAGTCACAAGCTTCCCCAGGGGAGGTTTAGGTGGGCCAGCAGGAGGAATTTTTTCACAGTAAGTGATTAGGCATTGGGAGGGGGTGCCCAGGGAGATGGTGGAGTCAGTTCCAAAGAGGTGTTCAAGGAAGGACTGGATGTGGCACTCAGTGCCGTAGTGTAGTTGACATGGCGATGTTTGGTCTTAGGCTGGACTCGATGATGTTAGTAGGCTTTTCCAGCCTAAGTCGTTCTGTGATACTTTGCCAATATTTGAGAAGCTGGTGTCAAAGTCGCAGGCCGGTATGAGCAGGGCACACTTGGCAGTCTGAAGTACTGGAGGGTGCAGCCCGGGGGGCCGCAGGGGGGAGGAAAGGAGGGGAGAGCACGGCGAGAGCCCACGGCCGGCGGAGACGCGGGGCCGACCCGTAATGGCGACCGCGCTGCCACAGGCCCCGTCGGCCGGCAGGGGGCGCTCCGCGGCTGCGCGGGCACGGCGGGGGGCGCTGGTCGGGCACGGCGGTTCCAGCCAATGGCAGCGCGTCCGGGGCAGTCTCGCCCCCTCCCCGCCGCCGTCACTTTGGGTCCGGCCCTCGGCCCGGCCCCGCCCCTGGGAGCGTAACGGTCTCCTATTGGTGGCGGTGGTGCGGCGGGGGGGCGGTGATTGGCTGCCCTGCGGGGCGGGGCGGCCGGCGGGCTGCGGCGGCGGCGGCGGCGGCGGCAGCGGCGGCATGGCGAGCTGCCGGCGGCTGAGCGGCGCGGGGCTGCGAGAGGTGCTGGGCCCGGCGCAGGGGCTGCTCTTCGACTGCGACGGCGTCCTGTGGGCGGGCGAGCGCGCCGTGCCCGGCGCCCCCGAGTTGCTGGAGCGGCTGCGGCGCAGCGGCAAGGCCGCCCTGTTCGTCAGCAATAACAGCCGCCGCTCAGTGGCAGAGCTGGAGCGGCGCTTCACCCGTCTCGGTTTCCGCGGCGTGCGCGCCGAGCACGTCTTCAGCTCCGCGCTCTGCTCCGCGCTTTTCCTCCGCCAGCGCCTCCTCGGCGGCGGGAACGGGAACGGGAGCGGGGCCGGCCGCGTCTTCGTGCTGGGCGGCGAGGGGCTGCGCGGCGAGGTGCGCGACGCCGGGCTGCGCCTGGCGGGCGAGGACGAGCCGGCACCCGGCGAGCCGGTGCGCGCCGTCCTAGTGGGCTACGACGACCAGTTCACCTTCGCCAAGCTGGCGCAGGCCTGCGGCTACCTGCGCGACCCACAGTGTCTGCTGGTGGCCACCGACCCCGACCCCTGGCACCCGCTCAGCGACGGCCAGCGCACCCCCGGTGAGCCCGCGCCCCGTCCCGCGCCGCCCCGGGGGGAAGGGGCTGGTGGCGGGGGTGGCCTCGGGTGGGGTTCACTGTCCCAGGTGCGGGCGAGGCGGTTCCCTGAGCGGCAGAACGAGCAGGGATGCCCTGGCACGTCCCTGCCAGCTCCCGAAGCAGTGCTGCCAGCATCTCGCTTGCCTGTCCCTGTGGCGGGAGCCGGGATGCTGAGCTTCCCGCGGCTACTTCTGTTCCTCCTCCTTCCCTCCCTGCAGGGACTGGCAGCCTCACAGCCGCAGTGGAAACGGCTTCGGGCCGCAAGGCGCTGGTGGTGGGGAAGCCCAACACGTACATGTTTGATTGCATCGTGGAGCGTTTCGGTGTCGACCCATCCCGCACCCTCATGGTGGGAGACCGTCTGGAGACAGACATCCTCTTCGGCAAGAACTGCGGCCTTGCAACCATTCTCACCCTGACAGGCGTTTCCCGCCTGGAAGAGGCGCAGGCCTACATGGCCAGCGACAGCGCCGCTGCCAAGGATCTGGTGCCCAATTATTATGTGGACAGTATTGCAGACTTGATACCAGGCCTGGATGAGTAACAGGTTGTACATGTGAGGGCAGAGGGGTCAGGCTCCCCATCCCAGATCTCCATCTGTTCCCATTTCTCTCTCACTGCCCTATTCCCTCAATTCCTAGTTTCTTCACATGCCAACATCCTTCTTTGGGGGCAAAATGGGAAGGGGATTGGCAGGAGGGGACAGGTTTCAAGTTGACTCCTTTCTGCTGAGAGCTGTCCATGACGGACAGAATCCTTGTTTCCCTCATTGCCAGCTGCCAGCATCTTTTGGAGAGAACTGGAGGCCTTGAGGCTGCTGGGGGAGTGTCACATCTGTGTCTATGTGGCCTCTCTTCCTGCATCAGTTTAGGACTGGCTGTTTTAGTATTATTTTTCCCTTGGATAACCAGTGGCGGCCTTTTACTGCTGTGTTTTGACTTGTAGCTCTTGACTTCTGAGCTGCATCCCTGCAGTCCTTGTGGCACCCCCTGTTGCCAGGGGATTGGCTGGCATTGTTACCCAGCTGGTGTCTATCAGTGCCAAGGCAGGTGGAAGGAGTGTGCCAGAGCTTTGGAATCATGAATGAGAGCATCTCTGCCTCCCACAAGTGAAAGAGAGCACTGCCTCATCTCTCCCCTATTCCTTAGAGATGTTTTCCCCACTACCCCCCTGCCCCAACCCAGTTAATAACTGTGCCAGTGTCCATCTGAAGGACAGACGAGACTGGTTTGAGGGTTTCTTCCTGTGCCAAACAGACAAGCTGTGACTGCCCACAGTGAGTCTGCAGTTGTACCTTGTTTTCAAGCACCCTTTCTGAAGGGGTTTGTGAAGGACAGAGGGCTCCTAGACCATGACAACACAGCACTAGTGAACTGTATGACTCTCCCTGGTTGCCCCTTCTCAGTTGGATTTTATCATAGTACAGTGGGAGAAAAGTGCTGATGGGGGTCTGTGCTCCAGCCACTGGTGTGCAAATGAGATGGTGATGGTGTTGTCACTACTGTGAATGTGTCACAGTCCTCAAAATCATTCCTTGCTGCTTTGTCTTTTTACGGTTTTTTAATTTCTTGATCTAATTTATCAAACTTATTTATTGTTCAAATATTGTATTATTTGTATAAATTATGCTGACTGCACCAAGGGGACAGAAGGCAGTGCCTTTGGGCATGCCTTACTGTCCATGTCCCATGTTGATGTTCTTACACTCACTATGTCTCTGTATATAATAAAGTGTGAACATAAGCTGGAAATGACCTTTTTTTTCCACTCATGGTCCCATCAAAATGAAACTGCCCTCGGTATCTTTGAGCCCTCACAGGTGAGGACATGGCAGGACCTTTCCTCACTCAAGGGGGTGCTGCTGGGTAGACAAGACAGGTGGGTAGTCTGCTCGAGTGTCTTTGAGCTGCCGTTTTCTGGATCACTGGTACCTCAGAACTGGCTGGAGGTGTCTGGTGGGGCTGTGGCTTAGGGTGCAGGGTCCATACAGCTCACTTGGGGCAGTGGGTGATGCAGCCCTTGTCAGCTGCCTTTGCGTTTCACAGCATGGGAGATTCATTGCTGGGAACCTCTTGTGCTGCACCTCAGGCTGTCCTCTGCTAGCCAGGTGGACCCCAATCATCTGTGCGGCTCTGCTGGGGTAGGAGTGAGGTGCCATCTCTGTTGTGTGCATAGAGCTTGCAGGGGGTGAGAACTGCCCAGGCAAGGTTTTGCTGTGACCCTTCTTGACTATGCTATGCTTTAAGTGACAGGGAGGTGGCTGTCACTGTATCCCTGGGGTGGCCTTAACCAGACTGTAGCCTGCCATGTCCTGGGTTTGTCTGTAGTCCCAGCCTGAAGGGAGAAAACAGATAGGGTAAGAAAAGTTAGAAGTGACTCAAATGTATTTTGCCTCCATTCCTCATAGAGGAGCCAATCCTCCCCTTTGTCTGTCAGACCCCTTTAACTGCTGGTGGTGGCAACCAAGCATCACATCTTCCACTTGAGAGATCAGCGTTTAACATTCAATAACTACGCTCTGTGTAAGGTAGTGCTGTGTCAGCTCATGTGGGAGAATTGGATGCAACTTCCCTAGGATAGTTCCAGGTACTGAGTGCCTTTTTCTTCTTTTTTTGTTTGTTTGTTTGTTTGTTTGTTTGTTTTGGTTTTAGTTTTGGTTTTTGGTTGTTTGGGTTTTTCTGTCCAAAATAACCTAGGAAACAGCCCTCCAAAATAAAAGAAAATCCAAAGATTTTCTTAATCAGTCTGCTTTGTATATGCCAGTTTCTCTCTTTGTCCCATCTCAAATTAGGCCACTAGAGGTCTGGTAGTCCCTTAATGAGTACTTGACCAACACTTGCATCATTAAGTAGAGCAAGATTGAGACCTGATGTGTCTGCTAACTTGCCTTGCCAATCTAGAGATACCCAGACCCTGGTTTATTTTTCAGAGCTCTCAGTTCTTTTATCAGGCTGAAATTTGAAGCGCTGTTGTTGTGACTTTGGGGCCACAGCTGGAAATGCTCTGTATGGCTGCAAATTTCCCAGGCTGAGTGGGTGTACAGAGAAGATTCTTCACAGTGAGAACATCCCCAGGACATGCCCCCTTTTTCCTAGGGTGCTTGGAGGGTAAACATTTGTCTGCTCTGTTCTTTCCAGTTCTCCCAGACAGCAGATACAGAGACTACAGCTGGAGGCTGTAGTCTCCCAGGCTGGCACACTGGAAACGAAACAGGAAATCCAGTAGCTGGTCAGAGTGTTCCAGCCTGTGCTTGGGCCCTCTCCAAAGACACTTTGGAGTTTGTCCTT